TTGTTGTTGTTGTTATCCTTATTGTTCTTTTTCTAGACTGAAAAAACAAAATAAAATACCCAATAGATTGTATGGAATAAAAAAAAAACTAATCACACATATTCCGAATTCTTTCTTGTATCCATAAGGGTTTGTTTTTTGCTTTTTTTTCTTAAGCAGTGGAATGTTTACTTGTTAGAAAGAGAAAAAAAGATATGATATTTAAGAAGTGAATTCTAAAACTATAAGTGTCATAGTGAGGGGGGAGGGGGAGTGTTTGATGAATTCGAATACATCAATGGCTTACAATTTTAATGAATGAATCAATGGTTTCTTATATATCTCATGTATGTTACTAAGATATTTGAATCGTTCTATTCTGATATTCCAATGAATTAGTTGTATATAATATATCGTTATGGGCCAGAGTAATTTAACATTGGTTTTCAGGAGAACCAGACATCATCTAGACTTTCATGTGATAAGCTAAACAGTATAGCTTAATCTTGTTTAACAGGAGAACCAGACACTGATTGATTAGATACTATAAATTATGAAGTAGTGAGTTAAAGTGTTTGAGTTCAAATCAATTAGTTGGCCAATTTAAACTAAGCTTCACCTAGTATGATATGAATAGGGGGATAGGATCATTACAATTTATAAGACTATAGTTCAGCTAACAGATGAGTAAATAAATGTTTAACTCATTTGATATGGAATGTTAGATTAAATAAAGTATCGCATCAATTTGGTTATCAAAAACCTTGAGTTTGATTTCAATCATTCATTGACTAATATTAGCCTAAGATATTCATAGTTAACAAAAGATGATAATTATTCGTATAAAATTATAGAGAATATTAAGCTTTTGATTAACATCATGAACCGAGTGATGTTAGACCACCATTGAAAATCCTATTTCGGGACTCCTGAGCAGTACGCAACCACGATCCCGCACAAAAGGGATTCGAACCCAGAGTCTTCAGTCTCTCGCTCGAACGCTTAACCTCTAGACCACTGAGTTAGTATCCAATAGTGTTAATGTCTAACCACAACCAATCCGCGAGATCGCCTAGCAGCTCTATGTGATAACTACAAAACCATTATACTTGTGAATCCTTCTTTATCTACCAATACATATAGTTAGAGAAAAGCTATTTAATTATTAACTTTAGTGGTTATAAAGTAACTCATTAGTTGAATTCCTTCACTATCTATGGTTTTTCATTGTTGATAAGTCCTATACAAAACCAGAAAACTTGTATAGTTCTCTTTTACTCTCTGGTCTAATTTAAGTCGGTCATTTGAAAGAAATGTTACTGGGTTCGAATCCCAGAGTGAACATGAACTCTGAGATGTGGCAGATACATCGAGCTGACGAGTCTCAACTGAAATCAAACTGGATTCCACTGCTTACTACTATCTATCTTCGCTTATTAAATTAGTCTGTTTTATAAACTAACTTCATTTATGAATAATTAATCCATCTTTTTCTATTTTGCTTGAAATTTATCATTTTAAGATACTTTTTTTTTTGAAGTACTTAATGTTATATCAATTACAAGTGTATTTTTCACAAGAGAAAGTTTGTTTAATATTTTTTCTTTTTTACCGAAATTTCTTCTTCTTTTTTTTCTTTTTTTTTTACTGTATCTCTTCATATCAACAAAATATTCGAGTGTACTTATACATTTCAAGTACATTATTTACTGTAACACATATCGTATCCAAAGTCCAGACAAATGATCACAATTCTATCTATGTACACATATATGTGTATATATAAGAATATACATATGAAAGGAATAGTAATCATAATACATAATTAAACATCATTGAGTATGTACTTAAATAGTTAAGAAATCGATTTCATTCATTTAATCATAGTTAATTACAAACATTCATTCTCGCCCCCCCTCCTCACTCCTATCTTCATTGTTAGTAGAAATTTATAGGATTGATTCTAAAATAACTTTGTGATTTTGTGCTAGTTATAGTTATATAGTTATATAATATACTCTTGTGAGTCAAAGGAGTTTTACATTAGTTTCCAAGAGAACCAACTCCGCCTGGAGTCCCTCCGGGAGCTACTGTCAGTCTCAAGCCCGGATAAAGGAGGAGGGTTGGGTATTGGGTTAGTGAATCCATCTCGTAGAAAACTAACTAACCAAAACAAACGCTAACCAGAAAAAATTATTCAAACCATTTAAACTCTGCCCTGGGAGTCAGAAGGTCTTGATTTAGAAAAGTTATGAAGCCTCATGATGAAAACCGAGTTCCTTCGGATGTCACGAGGCCGATGCCCCTTGTGACAACCATTTATTTAGGTACATGGAATGCTCATACAATGTGAGAGACTGGGAGAGTGTTACAAATTGCTGCTTTCAGGAGAACCAGACACCATTCAAACTTTCAAGTGACAACCCAAACAATATAGCTTAATATCGTTTAACAGGAGAGCCAGACACCGCCCAAGATTAAATTTCACAACCCAAGTAGTACAGTTCAATCCCGCTTCACAGGACAACCAGACATCGTTTAGGCTTTAACGCTACATTCTAAATAGTACAGCTCAATCCTGTGGCGAAATCAAACAGGTACCAAGCACCCTGGTGGACCATTCGCATCATTCATATACACAATGACGTCACATGTATAGTTATTCCGACCAATGATCGCGTGAATCAATTATACACAGCACGAACAGGTCAAAGTTGACCTATTCCGCTTACACGACAATCAAACTCATTATTGTTAGCAATGGTGACATGCCTTACAGTGTCCCAATGACAATGACCCTTGAGAACACTGAAAAGCAACCATCAATATGAATAAAATCGTGTAACCGGCAAACCAATTTTGTGCATGAACAGTCAGCAAAACTTTCCAAAGCAATGCCGAACCATCCGCAATACCAACAGCAAACCTCCAGTCTCATATAAGACCCTCAGCTCTACATAGCCATATGGCTATGTAGGGTAGCAGGCCAAATAACCCGCCCTGAAGCGTTAGGGCTTAAATAACGCTTAAAACCTATTGTCTGGTATCGGAATGCTATTACTAGACTACCAAGATCATTCTTATTGCATTTGCGAAATTCTCATTTTTCCGGCTTTTCAGGGGTAGTATCCTTAGCTGGTTAGTTTTATTTGGCATAAAACCATAAATCTTAATTTTATGTTATCTGGGATCTGTATTTGAAAAAGCATCTCACTAAAATCTGAGAACCATATAGTTAATCTGTAAAATATCAATCCATTATCTTGATCTTGACTGTTTCTTTTGCAAATATTAGTCCATTGTCTCAGATTTCATTCTTCATGCATTTTAATGCCAATTGTGTTTCGTTTCCGTTCCTTCCTTATTAATCTTCTACTGAAATACATTCAATGCCTGGCCACCGCTAAATACTGCTTATGCGGATATAAGTAACCCATACCACACTCGTCCCTTCTTTAAAGCAATCGTTCTTGCGATGGTTCTGCTCGCCATGCCATTTTCTTCTTCTCTGCAGTCTATGCCACGCTCTTTGTCAAAATGTCGAGTCTGTGGCGCACTGACCTCCATAGCTCCGTCGACCAGCCGGGTCACCAACATCCTATATCCACTCAGAATCGGTTTACAACTACTTTAACATTTTATCCATAGTTTAAATATGAACTGTACTAAGGAGACCTATGTAATATCAATGGTGGTTAATGACTTCATATTGACATCCCAATACATCTGCAGGATTTCCAGTTATCAATATACACAATTATGTCTAGATGAACATGATTTTTGATAATAGAAATAAAGATTAACCTCTTTCAATCTTTGACTTTTTAAAAAATTGGTCTTTCTAGAGATTTCCATGTTAAATCCAAGAAAATCAACCCACTTTCAATTTTCCTCTTCTGTAATAGTATAGATTAGTTTAACTGAAAATTCTTCAGAGAATTATTATATTAAATTATTGAATATCAGTACAACTGTAATGTGTGCTACTTATGTCGACATAAGTAGTATGTAATGCCAATTAGGAATAGAATGCCTGGTGGAATAAGGTTAAGGAGTTCAAAGAAAAGAGAATGAAGATAGAGAATGATTGATATGGAAACGAAGGAACAATGAAGTCTGATTTAATTAATGAACATTTTGCAAATGAAGTATTAGAGTATGATATTTCTATTTTACGAAATAACTCTGTAATTTTGTGCTGAACGTATCAGTTGTCTTCAACCCAGGACGTATCAGTCTCGCATGGGAAGCGGGATCGTGGATACGCACTACTGAGGATTCTCATACTAGAACGAAACGGCCGTCCACTGCTTCCAGGTTTTCCATGGTGATGTAGCTTCAATTAACTCATGATTTCAACTATTGAAATAGAGTTTTGACATTTTAACTGATGTCAGTTCGTGATGAGAACCCTAAATCTAATTTCTAACCTTAACCATCAACTGTAAATCATAATTTTAATTCTTCACATAGGTTTATAATCCTCATTTGGTCCTGTTTATTAGATGGACACTCTCAAGATCAATCTGGCGTTGCTCCAATGTCATCCATAAATTATAATCTCACCCTTACAATAAATTAAGCTTCAGATATACATATATGATTAGACAATATATAAAGTATGGTATAATCTACCTGTCTATTTACTAGATTATATGGTACTAATGAGACTAAATACTTCAATACGAACTTTGCATAAGTTTAAGCCATAAAGTAATTCTCAATCTGTCTATTGAAGAACGAAAAACAGTCTTACATATGTAATCTCTCTTGTAGGACGCACAATTGTACAAATATTGATTCATAATGAATTCACATAAAAAGCTTATGATTCATATTCAGTATTGAGATTGAGTTGACCAGTCAGTATATTCAAAGGTGTGCCTCTACTGGACACATTGTAAATTAAATAGTTGGGAAGTTTTAAGTTTGAATGTTTAGATATGGATTGTTGATTTTAACATAAATTCTTTTGTTTTAAGTAATACTGATGTCTTTTCGATCATTATTTTGATTTATAGCAAACTGGTTTAGCAGCACAATGTCATCATCAACCTGGTAGACGAGCATCTTTGATTGAATTGCAATTAGTTCACAAAGATGTATATACAGTTTTATTTGGTAGTAATCCAGCAAGTAGATGTCGAATTGATCCAACACTTTTAGCTACAGTACGTTTATGTAGGCTAGCTTGCGGTGGAGTTGGTGTAGATTCTGATACAGCATGGCATACTGCTGGACATACAGCTCATGCAGCGAGATTAGCAGCTGGATGTGTTGTTGATTTAGCATGTCGTGTAATGCTTGGTCAATGTCCCAATGGTTTTGCTTTAGTAAGACCACCTGGACATCATGCAGAACCAGGTCAAGCTATGGGATTTTGTTATTTTAACTCAGTGGCAATTGCTGCTAAACGAGCTCAATTCCTTGGTTCAACAACACTAGGTAATGAACAAAGCTCTGTCATTTCTTCTTTAACAACTACCTTCTTTGATCAATCAACTTTTCTCCCATACACTATGGAATCCGCACTTAAACCACGAATTTTAATAGTAGACTGGGATATTCATCATGGAAACGGAACTCAAACAGTATTTTACACAGATCCAACTGTATTGTACATATCACTTCACAGACATGATGAAGGAGGATTTTTTCCCGGTACTGGATCACCTGAAGAGATAGGCTCTGGTCCTGGTGAAGGATTTACCATTAATATTGCTTGGCCATCAGGAATCGTTATGTCTGATGCTGAGTATTTAGCAGCATTTCGTTTGATTATTCTACCTGTCGCCTGTGAATTTCAACCTAGTCTTGTTTTAATTTCTGCTGGTTTTGACGCTGCACCTGGTCATTCAGCTAATCTTGGTGGTTATTCAGTAAGTCCTGCTGCATTTGGTTGGATGACACGTTTATTATCAATTGATCGTATTGCTAATTCTAAAGTAGTATTATCTCTAGAAGGTGGTTATGATATGAATAGTTTATGTGATTGTACAGAAGCATGTGTACGAGCATTACTTAGATCAGCGGCTGAAATTAATGAAAGAAATTCAATACCTATTAATGTTCCAGATTTAATTCCATTAAAACAATCTGAATTAGATCGAATTCCACATCCATCAGCAATACAAACTTTATTAAATGTTGTACATTTACATTCTGCTTATTGGAAAAGTTTTTCACATAAAATCGATACACAATATGCATCATTACCAGCTAGTAATTGGTTACCAACATTATTTAATCATTCAATTGAAATTAAAAATGAACCTATTTCAGTAGTATCTACAAATGAGACAACATTAAATATAAATAAACGTTTAGTAAAATCTTTAATAAAACAAACACCATTTACAAATAATGAATGGAATAGAATAACATCTGAAAATACCATAGAAAATAATCGATATTGTAATTTTACTATGAGACAAGCATCTTCTATGGATGAAACAAATGAAAATGAAATAAACAAATCAAATTCTATAATAAGAAGAAGAAGATCAACTACTGGTATTACACCATCTAATATGGATTCTATATCATTAATAGGGGATACAAATGAAACAATAACACGTATTGCATTAACACGTTTAGCTGAATTACATGTTACATCACAACCTGAATAATTATGTATATAATATTAAAGTTATGATTGATTGAACATAAACTATTACTCCTACGACGACGATGATGATGACGACGACGGCGACAACAACAACAACAACAACAGATCATCATCATCATCATCATCATCATCATCATAAAGAGGAAGAATGTTGTATTTGTAAAAAAAATCTCAATGAATCAATTCAAAGTAAATCCTAATCCTTTTCATTTGGTATTTTGATCCAACTACAACATTTATTCCTCTTTTTATGTCTCACATCAATTTGGCGCCTAAATTTCAATGAAAGTTCTTATAAATCATCATAATAATGTATTTAAAGTGTTTTAAAACAAAATAAACACAACAAAAATGGAATATATATTTTTATGAGTATTTCTTATACTACTTATATGTTGTATATAATCAACTGAATAAGTCAATAAATGGAAATAAACATTCCTTATCTTACATGTAAACCTAATTATATATGTATGTGTAGAATAAATTCATACTTCCCGGTGCCTTAAGACATTTCACTTTTCTTTCTTTTTTTTTCAAAAAAAAGAGAAAAGAGAAAAGAAAAAAAAGAAAAGAAAGTACTACCTCTTAATATAAATCTTGTTCAATATTCAATATACTTACTTATACTTACTTAGTGACATACTACTGATATTTCTGATAAAAGTAAAACATTTTTCATGAACTAATAAATATGTCTGATTTTTTTCTTTTCTTTTCTTTTTTTTCTTTTTTTGTTTTTTGTTTGTTTGTTTGTTTGTTTGTTTTTAATTGTTATTTGCACGTTAAATTTTATTTTGTTCATTTAAACAAATTGATGTTTCATTATTGATTCATGGAAAAAAAATATCGATTAATTGTCTGTTTGATAAGTTGTTTTGTTTTGTTTTGTTTTTTCTTTTTTTTGTTTTTTTTTCTTTGTTTTTACACAAATATTCAATGAGGTCAGTTTGTTTGTTTGTTTGTTTGTTTGTTATGTGTAGTATAAATATCGATTTAAACAAGATCGGAAATAAAGTTAGTTATTGATTGAGAAACAATAGAGTGCGAAAAAAGAACTATTCATGAGTAAGATTGGAATTCGAAGATCTTATTTACTTTAATTAGGCCTGTTATTCATGGTGAAGGAGCATAAGCCGCCTATCAGAAAACTCTATGCAACCCTGTCATGGGCAATCTTTTCCAGATCTTCCCAGTTGGTATTCATCCTATTGATGTCTGCTTCCAAATTCCAACGTAATGTGTTTTTGAGCCTTTCTCTTTTCTCCTTCCCTTCACGATTCCAAACTAGGGCTTGGCCTCGTGATGCAGTTTGGTGATTTCCGTAATGTATGTTCCATCATCTTTTCCTAATTTTCTATTCAGTTGGAAGCTGGTTTGTTCTCTCCCATGGTAAGCTGTTGCCGATGGTATCTGGTCAATGGATGTTGAGTATCATGCGTAGACAACTATTTATAAATACTTGTACCTTCTTGATGATGGTTGTGGTAGTTCTCCAAGTTTCAGTTCTATACAATAGAACCAACTGTCTTGACGTTCGTATTGAACGTTGTGACTTTTATATTGGTTGACAAATAATTGTTTTGGGTTCTATATATTCTTTAGTTGTAGGAATGAAGCCATTGCTTTGCCAATCCTCACCTTTATGTCTGCATTCGAACCTCCTTGTTTATCGATGATGCTTCCCAGGTACGTGAAAGATTCCATATCTTCCAAAGTTTCGCTATCATGTGTGATTGGGTTAGTGTTCTCTGTTTTGTATCTGAGGATCTCACTGCCACATCAGTTGTCTTCATCTGAATTTGTTCTCGTGTATGGGATAGAAGGGCTACGTCATCTCCAAAGTCCAAATCTTCTGAGCTATCCATTGTATTCCGTAATTTCCCTCAGATGTCGAGGTCTTCAATCATTGTATTGTTAATTAATATTAAGAATATTGAACTGTTTTGAAATACAATAACACTGCGAACGCGGACTGACGATCAAAGCATGTAAGGAAAAACGGAATGAACTCTTTTTTTGATGAATGTTATGTTGACATATGAACTTAGCAAGAGCAGATTTCCTTCTTCTTTCGTTCAATGTAAATGTTGAGACAATAACGCTATCAGTCTTGTATTAAATTACTAAAACTGCTGTAGCTCATTCAACGTCACTAACTGATGTATCAAGGCATAAATGCAGTACAGTTGTGTGTGTTTCAAATTATAAAAAATAATCTGTAATCTATAGATGGTACATGGAGGATTTTCGAGAATAAATCACATGGTTATCCACAGAAGAAGCTGTAATAGGGAAACTAACTCAATAATCCGAAGTGTTTCCTATTATCTAACATTAGTCGGATTATGGAACATTGGATTGAACTCATTGGAAATGCCATATGCAATTGTAGAATCCACAACGAAGTTCGAAGGATTTGTCAATTTTTTGAGTATATATTTCAATTTCATTCGTTTTCTATTGTAACCTGTTCGTTAATATGAAATCACAGTCCGAAATGGACAAAAGGATTTAATGTTTGTAGAAGATCACCAAAGACATTCTTTCTTCCGTTGACTGTGACCTTGTACGGATTCGATTACGCTCAGTAACCCCACTTATAATCTGGCAACATCTCGGTATTCTTCCGATACCACGAGATCGCCAGCAAATACATCTCGACTACAGACATCAGCTGCCTTCTAATATTTGACCAACGGGAGATCTTATCGGTTAACTGGCACGTAGTCTTCTTGTAGCGGTGATCATAGTTAAACGCGGCTCGACGCCACTCTACAACACTTATCACTAAGAATGAAGTACAAACCATTAGAAGAAATGATTTCTGGAATATTCAGTGGAGAATATCTTGAAGACTCACTTCATCATAATGAAATTAGGAACTTTTTTCATCATTCAAATTATACTATGACGCCTATTCAAGAAGTAACTACGTTAACAGTGACTGATCAGTCATAGTCACAAACAGCACCCTGAAATAAAACATACTGAACAACAGTTAGACCAACAGTCTTTCATTTGAATGATGATCTTTGTACAGAATATTTATTCATCCACTATGACAGTTAGTTAGGAATAAGAATAAGTCCTCTTTTCGAATAATTCACTGACAGTGGGGTAAAAGAATCCAAGACACTGAAGTGATATCCTTATTTGGAACATTAAAATATAGTTGTTATGAGTTTAATTAATCATTGAAAACATGAATAACTGTGGAAATAAAGTGTAATGAAATGTAGTCAGAAAAATTTTGATCACAGAATTAAGTAGTTCGTGAGTAAAAGTGTAGCGTGGTGTCGAGTCGCGTTTGACTATGATCACCATTACAAGAAGGTTGCGTATCAGATATCAGAAGGCGGTTGGAGGTTGTAGCGAAATGTATTTGTTGACGATCTCGTGGTATCAAAAGAATATTGAGATCGTCCCAAAGGAGTACAAGTGGATTCACTGAGCAAACGTAAGCGCGCACAAGGTCACAATCAACTGGAGAAAGAATGTCTTTGGTACAGTTAAACAAACAAGTAGAGTAGAACAATCACTGGTAAAATTGGTTATAATAGTAATTGTTTCCATTACACTGTAGTGACCTACTTTTGTCAACAGAACGCGATTAGTTCGATGAAAACAATTATTATTATAACCAATTGTACCAGTGATTGTTTTACCGTGCTTGTTTGTTTAACTGTTCTAATGACAGCCATTATGGCCTTCCATTGAACTCCATTACTTCTGCGCGGTTTGTGACTCTACGCAAGTACTTTCTCCTGCCGATCCTACTTGTACTCTTTTGGCACGATCTCGTTATTCTTTCGATACCACGATATCGTCAGCAAAAATATCTCGACTACAGCCATCATCTGTCTTCTGATATTGGCCTATGGGAATCTTATTGGTTAATGGCACGTAGTCTTGTAGCGGTGTTCATAATCAAGCACAATTCGACACCACTCTACAACACTAATCGTGTTCTGTTGATAAAAGTAGATCACTAAAAAAGGTTGGAAAGAAAAGAGTCAGAAAGAAGGGTTATGGCTTCAGAAAATTAGAGATTATGACCATAGTAAAAGAAGATGTAGATCACCAACGTAGATGATCTATGTCAAATGATTGGAGGCCTACTCAAGTTAGACGGGGATGGTGTGACGAACCAGCTAGTGTCGAAGTCACATCTCGTGGTCAGCACCATACATAGACTACCCCATTGACGTATCTAGGTACTATAGATGCTTTGAAGACTGTACAACACAGAGGACGTTATTACAGAGATATATTAGTTAAAGTAGATACAAGCGAAAGTAAGACCACTGCCGCATGGACCAGTCCATGGCGTACGATTAACTGATGCGCATTGGTTGTCCTTGACATCGACGAGGATCGATGATTTGTTAGATATTCAATGACCCAACTGCTGGATGATTTGGCTAGTGCTCAGTGGAATTTCACTAGACCTACAAGATTTAGATGTTTTACTCATTATACTTTAAAAGCACTTACAAACCTACACTTTAACATAATTAAGAAAGTTAATCGATGTTTTAGGCATATTTCAATACGATGGTACTTCAGTTTTTTTCTCCAATGGTATGGATAATGTATAAGAGTGTTCAGCTGGTGATTATGTTTTAAAACGAGAAATGAATGGAAACCAAAGGTTGCGTGAACAGTTTTTGATTGAAATAATCAAGATAAATAACCAATGTAATAGAATAATCACAAACCATGGAATGAAGAAAAAGAGTGTTGATGCTGTTAATGCTTTAAACTTAACGACTGAGTAGCCCGTAGATGTCTGATACACTGAACGTGTCAATGCGTTGTTAAAAAAATAATTATTCCTGAAATGGTGATTATTTATAAACCATTTGATAATCTATATAATAGCTATGAACTACCTAAATCCTCAGTAACTGTCAACGTTTGAAACAGGAACTAAAGACACAAAACACGTGAATCACTGTAGCTAAACAAAGATTTAATTAAATTAAAAAATCTAGAGTA